CGCCCATTGATTTCCCCTCCCCCACCCCCCACACACCCCCCCCCCCCCCCCCCCCCACACACGCAGCCTAAACACACACCCAAACACCCCACTAAACTCGCACACATCTCACATCCAATGACGTGGTTCCCAATCTACACACAATACTCTCTGTGAGGACATCCTTGTTAAGAAGTTGTCTCCCCGTCTCCAGCACTTGTTGAATCTCATCCTTCATAATCCCACAGATCAGCTTGGCAACTTGGCGACATTCCATTGTCGCTTGAAATTTAGAATTTATAGTTTTTAAAATAATAAAAACATGAATGTGCGTATTTTTAGCCGTTTAAGAAAATAGAGCGAAGTACGTGCAGGAAGTTAAGACAATGTTATAAATGCACAGTGCATGCAGGGCTGTAAGACAATGTTATGTGCATTGTAAATGAACTAAGACAATAGTAGACATATCACACTGAACAAAGCAACTAGAACACCAGGACACTATTAATGATCAGATTTATTAAATTCTATCAAGTGGTCATTTATTTAAGGCGTATTTAGGCGAGTCGGATAGAAATGATCCAATAAGTGGTATCACTGTAGTGACGCTACCGGGCAGCGGCGCTGTAGCATGGGGAACAAAAGACCATGGAACACAAAAAGGATGAAAGTTTCATCTTTTTTCCAACGCATGAGGGGGTTAGGATTTTGGTCTTGTGCACCCCCCAGGTGTCATATACAAGTTGCGCCGATGGTCACAATAAGATTTCATTCAGTCCTTAGATTGAGAAAAGAGTGGGGGGGGGGGGGGGGGGGGATAGAAGTGATACACTAGTTTCCATATAATATAACACAATGTGAATTAGATGTGATGAGAATTAACAAATTCATTCCGTGGGACAACGTTTGAGGATTAAATTATTTTGAAATTTAGTTCATAATTATTACATATGCACCATATAATATTTTGTATACTTTTGCACACTCTATGACGAAACCAGCCTTAGAAATGTTGACTGAGGCATCTGAATACCCATAAACGCCGCTCAATAATTTACAACTATTACGAGGACTGAGTGGCGTCTTCTGATTGCAGCACACGGTGCTTGTCTTGGAGGTCAAGGGAGCTGGAGATCTCCTTCTGGTTCCATAACACGTTCGTTACCACAGAGTCCTGTTGATGGTCTGATAAAGCACCTTTTGGGGTATGAACGTTAACTGTGCAATTATGAATAGTGTAGATTTCTCCCTTCGTCGGCAAGTTAAAGCGATTCAACAGAATCCCATGTCCGTGGAGTCCATTTAATGGGACTCTAGCATCTGGGACTGACTCCAGTTTATCACCTCAAACGTTTACCTTACTTAGACTTCTCAAATCTTCCCCTTACCCCGACCATCTTAACCGTTGAACGAGCATAGTCCGCCCTCTTTAATCTTTGACCCTAAACTTAAAAAGCTTAAACCTTGACCCAACCATGGATCGTGTTAACACTTGACTTAACCGAAACTATAATTAAACTTTTTCCTATCTTACACTAAGGGTCATTCATAACTTTTTTTTTTTTTTTTTTTACAAAACGCAAACCCAGGGCGCCATACATGGCGTTTATTTGAAGCTGAACCAGACCCAACCATGGATCGTGTTAACACTTGACTTAACCGAAACTATAATTAAACTTTTTCCTATCTTACACTAAGGGTCATTCATAACTTTTTTTTTTTTTTTTTTGTACAAAGCGACAACCCAGGGCGCCATAGATGGCGGTTATTTGAAGCTGAACCGTTTGCGACAAGCTCTGGGCAGCTTCAAGTTGCTTCTCTGCGTCAGCCGTTTCTTCTGCTGCTCCGAGTAGATCTCAGTGCACAGCGTGTACGCGATGTGCTCCTCCCTGTACACGTCGTCGAGCGGCCGGACGTTCATGTGCAACCCGCGGAGGTTGATGCCCTCGAAGAGGAGGTGCTCGGCGTTCGAGAGGGGCGACAGCTCGAAGATCCACATGCAGCAGTGCTCTTCGGCTGGCAACGAGAAAAATGGGTATCAGCCGTGCGCAACAGATGGCGCGTACCAGCGGTGTGCAAGAGATTGTGGGGACCAGCCGTGTGCAAGAGATTGTGTGTACCAGCCGTGCGCACGAGATGGTGCGTACCAGCGGTGTGCAAGAGATGGTGTGTACCGGCGGTGTGCAAGAGATGGCGTGTACCGGCGGTGTGCAAGAGATGGCGCGTACCAGCGGTGTGCAAGAGATTGTGTGTACTGGCCGTGTGCAAGGGATTGTGTGTACCAGCTGTGTGTAAGATATTTTGTGTACCAGCCGTGTGCAAGAGATTGTGTGTAAGAGATTGCGTGTATGAGCTGTGTACAAGCTAATATTTATCAGCTGTGTATAATGGAATAAGTACCAGCTGTGTACAAATGAATGTGCACAAGCTATATGTCAGATAATGTGCATCAGGTGTGTTCTTTAGATTGGGTTACAGATAAAAATTTCATGACAGAAAATGTATATAATAGAAGATGTAAGTATATAAATATTAAAAAAAACTGTAATAGCATTGCAAAGATTAGTTGTCTCAATTAAATTTTCTAGCTGACAACTGGTCCAATCAATATTTGACAAATTTTTCTTTTGCCCAATCATCTCCAACTGACTCCATAGAGATAGGCAAAATTATTACGTACAACAACTAATCTTGTCTAGAATTAAATTATTGACCGCTTGATCGGCAAATAGTAGTCCAAGGTCACAGTTGACAACTAGTTTTAACAAATGAACCGGCGACCAACATTTACAAACTCGATTATATTACGTCAGTCTGTATGGCAGCGGTCTCCTTAATGGCGGAAGGGCCCCCAATCCCTAAGGGGGTCTCAAACCAGTTTACAGGTCATGAATAAATTAATATTTCAGGGATATTTTAATATTACATATTATGACTATTATGAACCTGCATTATATAAAAGTATATATGGAATAAAACGTTACGAGTAATGTTTCACTAGAAGGTGGGGTTGGGGGTGCACACTACTATATGTAGATTAAGGTTTGGGAACTACTGCTACAGATTTCAAGTAAAGATGTTTCATTTATCACTGACTTCAAAACCAAGCATTCTCTTACGCGCATTTTCCCTTAACCAATAAGTTAGGTACATTACTATGAACGCCACCACCACACCCCAAACCTTTTCATCTTCACTACCAAACACCCCCCAGGTTAAAACCCGGTCTCACCCAGATTCAAAAAAAAAAATAAATAAAAATAATAAATAAAAAAATATTTTAACTTACTGAGTGAAGCATTCTTGAATGCTTGAAGTCTGATGGGGTCGTACTGTAGCAGGGTAACCTTGACATTGGCCTGCGTCTCGATTTCCCGTCTGACTTCTGAATGCGTGCAGCCCGACAGCATCGTCTGGAAGCACAGCTTCTTGGGCTGCGGTGGCGGCAAAATCTTGCGCATGCGCACGGTCACTCGTCTCTGTTTCTGCGTGATGTCGGTGTTTGAGTCTGATTGGCTACTGCTGCACACTTCGACAGTCGGTGTGCCGTCACCTCTGAATTCAAAATAAATCTGTTAACCATGGATTTGGAGTGGAGCTCGGAGCGCTGAAGCAGGTTCCCTTTGCCCGGAAATGGCAAACTTTCTTACTGATCTGAGCTCTAAAAAATTTAATGAAGTAATTTGAAAATTTTTAAAAATTATAATTTATTTTACGTTTTCATTTATTAACTTTATTTTTTTTTAAAATGATGTCTAGCTCTTCCATCAGGTATGTTGCCCCATTCTTCACACAGACAAGTGGCTCTACTCTTCTACAACTATGTTTTACTGTTCTTCTACCATCTGTGGATGATCCACAATTTGTCCCCCACTCTTCTACCAGTCATGTTGCAACATTCTTCTACCATCTATGTTTCCCCACTCTTCTACCAGCTATGTTGCTCCACTCTTCCACCAGCGACGTTGCCTGCACATGCATTTCTAATTCCTAGTAAATATATTGGATTACTTGACTATAGCAAACACATTTCCAAACACTGAGGACCCCTTAACCATCCCCAGCCATCCCTAACCAACCCCTTTTACCGGAGCTTGGAGCGGAGCTGACAAAAATATGTCCGGAGTGAGCTGGGTCGGAGCTTCGACTTTAAGACCCTCATCCCCATCCCTGCTGTAAACTGACTCACAACATATGGCCTAGATCTAAAGATACAGAGTCTACTGAGACAGTCTACTGAGACATCTTAATGAGACAGTCGGTTAGTTTTCTGAGAGAGTCGGTTAGTCTACCGAGACAGTCTACCGAGACAGTCTACTGTGACAGTGTACTGTGACAGTCTACTGTGACAGTCTACTGTGACAGTCTGCTGTGACAGTCTACTGTGGCATTTCAACGAGACGATCTACTGTGGTATTTTAGCGAGACATTCGCCTGTGATAGTCTACCAAGACATTGGACGCAATGGGTGGCGAAAACTCCACGAGAGTGAAAAGGAAGTTTAACAGAAATTTTGTCCTCACACTTCTGTGCTATCGGTTTTTTTTTTTTACATAACTTGGTTTCTAAAAAAAAAATGTTTTCTCCTGTTTATTTAAAATCTAAACGTTGACACGTTTGAACACCGTGGAAACAATTAGGACTTTTTCCCGACAAGTTTTCAAGTGTCGCAGGAATCTGGAAAAATTCTAGCTGTGCCGTCAGGGGAAAAATGGGTGCGTTGCAATGCTATAAAAGATGACTTTGATATAAAAGTGCTATATGATGATGACTTTTGATGATATCGCTATAAATGACGACTTAAGTATAACAATGCCATATAATGATAACTTTAGTATCAAAATGCTACACAATGATGACTTTAGTATCACACTGCCACATAATGATGACTTTAGTATCACAGTCCTATATAATGATGACTTTAGTATCACAATGCTATATAATGACGACTTAAGGATAACAGAGCCTCACGTTTTGTTCGTGTTTGGTTTCGGTTGGCCAGATTTCTGGCACGGGATGAGCGTGCACTCGCAGTTGGCGTCGTCGTACGCCAGCTTGAACTTCATCGTCTTCTTCTTCTTCTGCGCACCGTGGCCGCCCTTGTTGAATTTGTTCAGGAGGTAATCGTTCCACGGGCGCGCCTTGGCTCTCTCCGCACTGACGCCCGCGGAGCTGCTGCTCTCCTCCTGAGACCGCCTTGAGCGCTCCTTCGCCTTTTTGATATCTTCTGGCGACATTCCGGTGAAGGTCAGGTGTCTGAACGAATTCAGCCTCAGTGGCACGGGACGCTCGAAGCGGACCGGGGTCGGCCAGTCCCACGGATTCGGCCACATCTTCGAGAAAGACGATTCTTCGCTCGGAATCTCGGGGAAAGAGGCTTCAGTTTTTACTTCATCGTGGAGATTGTCCGCCCCGAATTTTTTCTTTTCGGGGTCAGTTTCCTCGGTGTAGAGGTTGTTGCTGTTGTGTATTGTTAAATTATCAATTTTGTTTGATTCCTCATTTTGCCAACCGTCTTCCTGTTTTTGATACGGGACGTTGTCATCTGGCAGACAGGGGCGGTAATCTCCGCGGTCGAATCGGTCTGCGTTACCTCCCGTTGCCGACCGGGGGGCCTCTAAGAGGTCACCTAGTCTCCGACTTGACGAATCGGGTCGTCTTTTTGCCTGACAACCGAGTTCACTCTCGTGTTCTTGACGGTCTCTCCTTTCGACGGAATTCTCGACACCAAACGCTCGAAACCTAAAGTCCTGCCCCGGAAGTTTCGCCATTTTCGTTGCTAGGCACTCCTCGTTTCCGGCGCCTGGTACTGATTTCGACTTCCTCACCTCGTCTTTAACGCCTTGTTTGATGGTGGTATCGGTCAATGTGAGGCCGGAGCGCTGATCCCCCAGGACGCACCACTCCGACTGTGACGTGCTCAGGTTCGCCTTGTTAACAAAATGTCCACTTTCCATGACGAGGCTGCATTTTTGCGTCGATGTCCATTTGCTGCTGGCCGCGTAACTCTCGTTGTTCGCTTTGGTCTCGTGGGAAGAAGAATTCTTGAAATAATGATTGTTATCTGTGTTCATGGGAAGAGGAAGTCGTGAAATAGTGATTTTAATCCGTAATCATGTGGGGAAAAAGAAGAAGCTATTTTAAGATAATGCGGTGTTCAGAAAGTATAGTGAATCACCTCTAGGCCATTTGTCTCACCATTACGGGGATGTGACTCTAAACTAGTCTAAACCATGGGGTACCTAGCGCAAGCGAAGGACAGAGCATAATTCAAGGAAATAAACATTTTTGGACAAAAAGATCTTTGACTTTTTTTGGGTGTGGGGAAAAAAGGGGGGTGGGGGTTGTGGAAAAAAACTGTACTGTAAATAAATGAGGGTTCGGTGTCGCCAAAATAAATAAAAGTTTAAAAACAAAATTATGTATTGGTATAAAGAGGGAAAGAATGCAATCAGGATAGAGCACTCGGAAGGAGCGAAACGAAGTAGGGTCAAACCGTGAGGAGAAGAACGCAACGAAACAGCGTACGTGTCTGCAAGACGCCCTCATCAGCAGTCTTTTTTTTTGTAAATTTTAATTTTAATTATTATTTTCCCCCTAGCTTTCCCCATATTTAGTTTCGCTTGTTTCCATTACATTTGGTTTAGGTCAGGGGAGATTATTTTTAGAAGCGTTTTTTTAAATAATTTTTTTTTTTAAAGGAAATTAGCATCATTACGATAGATTCTGTACCGATTCGAGATCCACTTATGGACAAGACTAGGACATCCCTTGTATTTACATCAAAGTCAGTGTCCAACTTAAGACTGCTGTCGTTGCTGCCAGACGTCGACCTTTGATTTGATGGTACCTGGAGATGCAAAAATAGCGATTGGCAAGTTACGCGGGGCTGAGATCAGTGGTTCTCAAACTTAACAGAGAGCCACACATGTGTATCCAACCCACCACCTTCTTGACTGGGAGGAAACTGCGTCTGCGCAGGTGCACAGCTCTCCCAATCACGATCTGTCATTAGGTGCACCCTAAAAGACTAAATGAATTAAATTAAAATGTGTTTACTTTAGAGCGGGGAAATAGACCGAAAACAACCGAGACACAGACATGTGGCCGAGCTGTCTAAACGGACTCAATCCAGATAGCTGGTGGCCTGTAGTCTGTTGATGGGACTCGTTAGCCTTGGGCGGCAACTCATTTAAGAGAAGGCAAACTCGAAATTAAACCAGGAGCAAAAAATTGTCAATAAATTGATCCTTGGCATTCAAATGAAAACAAAAACAACAACAAAACAATGAACAAAGCAAAACAACATATAACAGAAAAAAATACTTGGTATAATTTGGCATCGATGAAAAATAACTTAGCATGGGACTTATATAAGGATAGTATCACTATTCTTATCCGTTTTAAAATCTTGCGCCATTTTTCAATTATTTATAGCGTGATATTCTAGTTTTTAAATGTGTTAGTGGCGAATGACTCGTCCGATGGCGGAGCTGTGAACGCGATCTTTTGAGGGGAACAAAGGTCTTCTTACACTGGGACAACTCAGCGGGTTTTCAACAGAGTTCTTTTTTTTTTTTTAAAAGACCGTATGATTAAAAAAAAATCCTGGTAATTTACCACTTGAGCGTCGGCCAGGAAAAAAATCCAGTTGTTCCGATTTGAAGGGCTATTTAAACAATTATTCTTATCTTGTTTTTACAACGTTGTACATATTTTTCTTATCTACATGAATTCATGTTCCGCAACCGTTTTCGAGGACATGATATTTTCAAGAACTTCATTCTCGCCTCGGGGGAGAACTATGCATAATGTCATTTTTACACATTACATTGTTTGATTTCTTCTATTTTAATTTTTTAAAAAATAAAATAATTTTTTTTACATTTTCTATTTTTTTAAATTGTCTTGTGTTGTTTGTTCTACTGTATATGTGCTCGAAGAGTATGTACAACAAGATAAGAATAATTGTTTAAATAGCCCTTCAAACCGGAACAGCTGGATTTTTTCTTGGCCGACGCTCAAGTGGTACATTACCAAAATCCTGATAAATCCAAACAGCATTTGGTATGCTAATCTTGTTATGGAAATCATTTTAATATATGTCTATGTATACCATAACACATTGCTTAAATTTTTTTTTTTTTTTAAAATAAAAAGATGTTCAACTACTACCATGGGCGCCCGCAGAAAACTTTCTAGGGGGGGGCAAAAAAAATCGATTAACTGTCCAGGGGGGGGGGCAACAATTTTTTAGAAATGTTTTAATATAGTTTTAGTTTACTGTAGCGTATTTGTATGGAGAACGAACGGACAGGACATCAGCTTAGTTACTTTCTCTTTATTTTCTCTTTATTTTAATAAATTTTTGATCTATTTTTGTCTAAAAAAATTTATGCAATCAATCCAGGGGGGGGGGGGGCAAGTGCCCCCCTTGCCCCTATCTGCGGGGGCCCATGACTACTACCCTAGTTTTGTTTATATTATAAAATTAAACAAAAATTTAGAAATTTAAGATTTCAATAGTTGGAATTAATCAATTAATGTTAAATCCACTTTAGTGGACAAAGTAGTAAATTAAAATAAAAGTTTTCAAAATCAAATATTTTAATAAATTTTTGATCTATTTTTGTCTAAAAAAATTTATGCAATCAATCCAGGGGGGGGGGGGGCAAGTGCCCCCCTTGCCCCTATCTGGGGGGGCCCATGACTACTACCCTAGTTTTGTTTATATTATAAAATTAAACAAAAATTTAGAAATTTCAGATTTCAATAGTTGGAATTAATCAATTAATGTTAAATCCACTTTAGTGGACAAAGTAGTCAATTAAAATAAAAGTTTTCAAAATCAAATGTTCATTAATTTAAAAATACATTATAACGTTAATTAAAAATAAGAAACATTACTTTAAGTCAATGGAGTAGAGCCACCGGAAGTGTAACTAATGAACATTTAAAAAGTTGGACGTCGATAAAAGGAAAGAAGCGGAATAAAAAAAAAATAAATATGTAATTGTAAGAGGGTGTTAAAAGGTGTCGTTTAAAAAATATATGGAAGAAAAATGTCAAAAGTATTTTTAAAAAAATTATTAAATTGAGAGGGATTGGGATCTAGCTAGGAAAACAATGTGGAATGGTCAATTTTCGAAGTCTAAAAGGCGTCTGTTTTACGAGAAAAATTAAAGATATTGGTTTAGAAAACAACTCCAAGAGCAATAGATGCAATGCCATTTAATAGCAGGTTAATTTGTTTGGCCATCTGATCAGAATGTCTAATAACCAGCCCGCGTTGGAAGTCTGTGATTGCATGCAGTCAGGTTTCAGGAAGACCACATCGGCGATGGAACGACAATTTTAAAGACGCCCTAGAAATCCCAAACATGGTTGTCCAGCAGGTCTCACACACTACGGCAGAGCGTCAACTTGACCTCTCCGCGTACGGCCCCGGTAGAAGCGCACAGAAGAAGCCATTTAATTGTATAGTTTTGGTGTGTTCCCCGAAATCATTTCTCCATGAAGACTGGTCTGTCCTCTCTCTCTCTCTCTCTCTCACTCTCTCCCTCCACGCCGCTCTCCCGCTCTCTCTCCCTCTCTCTCTCTCTCTCTCTCTCTCTCTCTCTCCCTTTCTCTCTCTCTCTCTCTCTACCATTGTTAATTAAATCTTCTTTGGTGCGCGTTCTAAAAGTTATTTCTCCTTTGTTCCCAATCTCTGTTTCTCTAGCTTTGAAATCGACAATCCAAAATGGACGTCATCTCCTTCATTCAACTTCTCGTTCTGCATCTTTACAACATTTCAATTGCTACACATAAGCGATGATAACTTTCAACATTTTTACAACAAAATCAAACCCCTACACATAATTTAGCTATGATGAATTATAACATTTTAACAACACATCCAGCCCCTACACATAATGTAGCTATGATAACCTACTACATTTTTACAACACATCTAACCCTTACACATAATGTAGCTGTGATAACTTATTACATTTTTACAACACATCCAACCTCTACACATAATGTAGCGATGATAGCTTACAGCATTTTAACAACACATCCAACCCCTACACATAATGTAGCGATGATAACTTACTACAGTTTCCAGCCTCTGGTTCGTCCTTCTAGTAATGTTGGATCTTTTAGACAGTCGAACTGGGGTCACACTGTGACCACGGACTTCATAATCGAGTTGTCTCAAACATTCATTGAAGATCCCGATCCCTAGGTCATCGGGCTCTGTAGATAAAGTGTAGAGAAATTTTACGGGTTATATAAAAATATACGAGATTATTACATTGCAGAGATTCTTAGAACATCAGAAATTGCAGAGATTCCTAGAACATCAGAAATTGCAGAGATTCTTAGAACATCAGAAATTTCAGAGATTCTTAAAAACATCAGAAATTGCAGAGATTCCTAGAACATCAGAAATTGCAGAGATTCTTAGAACATCAGAAATTTCAGAGATTCTTAAAAACATCAGAAATTGCAGAGATTCCTAGAACATCAGAAATTGCAGAGATTCTTAGAACATCAGAAATTTCAGAGATTCCTAGAACATCAGAAATTGCCGAGATTCTAGAACATCAGAAATTGCAGAGATTCTTAAAAACATCAGAAATTGCAGAGATTCTTGAGGTATAAGAAATATGGGGCGTTTTAGAATATCAAAACTTGCAGGGTTTCTTTGAATATCATAAATTGTAGGATTTTTAGAAAAATAAAAATGATATGATTTCTTCTTATGCTATCAGAACTTGTGTTTGTTGCTCG